AGGAATCATGACTTCGCGTGCTGGTCAGTAAAAACAAAACACAGTTGCCAAACACTTGGTTTCCAAGTAGATTTTTCAGTCATGTTAGCATAACAAAAGCATCAGAGCAATTCTGGTGATCTGAGGTAGCCGGTGCTACCACTGAACAAAGTGAAGAATAATACCTTCTTAATATTTAACACTGAATTCTGTTTTGTTCTTAACACTTGGCTCTTCTGCGGAATCCCTTATCCAAGAATCTATGAGCAGTTTACCAAGATTAATTCATTCTCCAAATAATCTCATGAATGGAGTAAGCTTAAATAAACAAACATCCATAATTTTTTCAATTATGAAAAGGACAGAAGAAGGAAGTTAAATATCTTGGCAAGGTCACTTAGTGAGATCAATAATCCTTTCAACTTCACCCAGGAAAATGTGTGTAATCTAGAAATGTGCTTCTTGAATTGTCTATTGTTCATTTAACTTGACAGATAACAAAATGAGAGAATTTATTAGGAAGCAGATGGCTGTTTATTTCTAACTACTAAATAGCCACAATGGTGAAAAGATTTTACCTAAGTAAAGCTTAAATCCTAAAGTAGAAAATAAATATATTCCAAGAATGTAGAGTGCTAGAGATAAATAACTCCATGGTTTTAAAAACTCTGAAAATGGACAAGCCTGGAGGATAATAAGCCCCAAACATGAGACTATCTGAGCCAAAACATGAATGATAAATCTCCTATACTAAAAGAGAATTAATCTAAGATCCTGTTTCCTCAATTAGGGCAATGGGGTCAGTGCTCTAACTGCATGATTTAAAAAGAAGTTTCTTTATGTCAATCAATTCTTACCTGGAACCATTTATTTAAGACAACAAGGCGAGACATTCAGGAAGTTGGTGGTTTGGACAACACAGCAATGGTGGGAATAATGTATTTAAATTTCGACACCCTGGTAGGGTGAATCACAAGGGTTGCCTGTTACCATAAGCGTGCAGGACAGTAGATTTCCTTTGGATTTGGTAGGTTTTGTTTGAATAAAAAGGAGGAAGTTGGTTTGAAACAGCCCAAAGGGAAGAGTTAAGAAATAGTTTTCAAGGCTTTGCAGGAGCCCATACTGGAGTCATAAAACATAATCTCAACTTGAATGAAAGCAAAGAAGCAAAACAAAAGGAAAAAAATGGGGAAATGGCAGAACACAACCACAGTCAGATGAAACTCTCAAGACTGCAATTCTGTCAAATGATTGTAGCCTGGAAGAAAAATCTTCCCGGATAAGTGGTGGGAAAGCGAGGGTTTCAGAATAAACAGCCACCGAACAAAAAGAGTGATACCGTTTGCAGTGCGACTGCCACAAACTTTACCCCAACTGTACAGTAGAAGCCACTCATTATTTTTCTCATCAGTAAGGCACCTACTGAATTCCCTGCACAGAGTAGGAATGTAGCAGGAACTTTGTGAATGAGCTTAGTTCTGTGTTTCTAACTTAGGCAACCCAGGTGGGCCTTATAGAGAGATGTCTTAGAAATCTACAAAGGAGATTCAATTAATATAGTATAGAATTCTTAATAAAAACAAAAGCAGCAACAAAACCAGGTTCTGAGGCCGGAACCGTTTTCCAGTGCATTTTAGGGCTTGGGTGTGGAGCAGCAAGCAACCGCCTCTCACTGCCCTTCCTAAGGGCCCAACACACGAGGCCCTGCGTCACAGCCATGACTTCTAGGGATGGAGGGAGAGCCATTATTTGGCGGTAGCTAGTTTTGGGAACATTAATGTATGATGAGGATGGGAAGAGAAGAGTGAGTGTATCTTCTATCTCCATCCTCTCAGAGGCTTCCTCAGTCTGCTGAGACAACAGAAAGCTTTTCCACTAATCCTGAAAGGACTAGGTCTACAGACAAGAGTCTCACTTACCAGGCACGGCGCTGGGCAAATAAGACAGAGATGAAATAAATGTTTTCTGACCTCAAGAACTTACTCTCGTGTAGGTCAATGACGACACCAGAGAAAGTCAGAACCTTCCTGGAGCGGTGCCCCCCAAATCCCAGCTCTCCCAGGGCTGGCCCTGCCTTTAGCTTTGATTCTCCACCCTATTCCTCTAAGTTCATGTACAAACTAAATCAGAGGCACCGATGACTAACTTCTAGCAAACGCCAGCTAAGGAAGTGCTATCCCCTAGAATATGCCAAATCTAAATCTTGCTTTAAAGATTATAATATTTTAAGACCTATGAAGCCTGTTTATTTTGTGTTGATAGCCAATGTGAAACTTATTAATCCTCCTAATTTTCATCTCCTTCTCCTCTACTAGAGGTGTCGATAAAGGGAAAACAGATGAAGCCAAGTTAGTCGATTTGTTGGTTTTTATAGAAGCGAGTTTTATTTACATGAAGTCTGTGAATTCCTATAGATGTCACATGGCATTTTCATGCCTCTTTTCTACCATTATGGGTAATTAGAATCTGATCATATTTACAAATCTCAGGCCTTGATAATTCCTTGATCCAGATGGATTTTATGTAAGTCATGGAGGGCCTTTCTTTGTGCAAGGCACTGCTGGGGATACAGATGTGAATCGACTCCAATCTCAAGAAGCTAACGTGTTCTCAATAAGCAGATTTTTTAAAATAAAGTCTATATTTTCTCTAAGGCCTTAGTGTGAAGGGCCTGTTATCTGTAAATATTACCAATTTGTAAGCTGTGTTGTTATTTATAACCCCTAGCTCTTGTGTTTTTAATAAGGTAAATTGGCAAATTGTAGGTGTTCTATTTTTAAGTCACTGCAGAAAAGAGCTAATAAAGACATCTATAAAGATAAGCCACATCTTAAATACCACACACAATTAAAAAGCAATCTTAATAATAGCTAACATAATACAGTAATAGCTAATACAAGGTGTTTGCTCTTTTCTAATCAGTGCTAAGCATAAATATACACACTCTTAATTCTCACAGCAACTCTATGAGAGGGACACTATTATGATCCTGATTTTACAGATGAGACTATAGACACAGAGAGAGAACAGGCATGGAGAGAAAGAGGAATGCTGGGAGGCTATTAGTGGGAATGGGATAGTTCAATGTAGCACCAAGAACGTGGAAAAGAGGAAAACTTCTGAGTCCATAATTACTGAACTGAGTTTAACCAAAATCTGAAAGGAGAACAAGAAATTCCAATGGTACTAAACTGAATTAGGTGACTGAGCATACAGCAAGCACAGAACAAAATCACACAAAGGGCGTGTTTAAGTTACCGTGCACACACAACTTAGCCTTGACCTCTTGAGGAAAGAGGAAAATGATTTTTAAGACTCTGACAAAGACATCCTCAATAATTGTCAGGAAAATAGAAACAGTGATGTAGAAAAGATAATCCAGAAAAGTTAGCAATGTCTTTAATAAAATAAACCACGAGAAATACAGCTTTGTTGTATATTTATGATACCAAACCCTGAAATAAAAATGTATCGTTTAAATGTAATACTTAAATGAAAAATGATATTTCATTTAATTATCAGTAAAATGTTTCTAATCTTCAGGAGAACAGTCTCAGTTTTGATCTCCATGTTTGGTGTCATGTACACCTGTGCAAATCTCATTATCAAAAATCAGTTAGCAGAAAATTCATAAATCAGAACATATTTTTCTAACACAGTCAGGGGAATAAAAGTTATACTGGGGTCTAAAACAGTCATTTTTGTTTCCCATTTAATAAAATTTAAAATAGTTTTTTAAAACATACAAAAGAAATTCCCTTAATGAAAAATATATGTAGCATACTGTCACAAAAATTATGAAATAGAATATTAGAAATCATGCATTTTAGAGTAAGTGTGCCTGGTTTGAACCCTAGTTCAATCAGCCTACTAGTCTAGTTCAAGTTCCCCTGGACACCTTACTTGACCTCTTTTCTCAATTTTAAAAAAGGTAGTACCAAGGGAACCTATTTTATGAGGCTGTTGTAAGAATAAAATAAATAATATTTGCTGTGCTCTGCTTGGTACATGGTAGGGACTCAACATGTGTTACCTAATATTTTCATTATATTTTGTTATATAAACATTTACTATTTATACATAAAAGATACTAAAGACAAAACTAGAAAATCAATTTCCTGAAGATTCCTAAATCCACTGGAAAAAAAGTAATGCATACCTGACCAGCTATTTTAGTAACTGCTTTAAAAAAAATCCTATAACATTTGACCTGAAGACTGAAAGAGAATCCCCAGCCTGGTTGATAGCAATACACATGCATACACATGTGGCTTTCTACAGAGGTATGTGGGTATATTCTCATGAAAGACAAAATATTTGATATATTATTATTTCTAATGTGGTCTCCCTGGGGTTTTCCCAATGCAAAAAAAGTAAGCCTAGGGAAACTATAAAAAGCAATAGCCCGTAGTTTAAAAAACAGCAACAACAAACAAACTGATGTGTAAAAGCCAAAGCATTCACCTGCAACTGAGACCGGTCACATCTGGTTGTTTGGGACACTCCTAGAGCATTTTTAAAAACCCTCCATCATGTACAGTTTCTTTATAAAGGTTTATTAGGTGGAGCTTGTTAAGGCCATAGTTAACAGAAAAATTTAAAAGACTAATTAATAAAATCGGCCCAGAGATTAGCAACTGGCAAATATCATTTTAGATGGACAACAATCAAGGCAAGCTTTTAATTTTCTGTTGTCACACTTCATCATTCTTTCCTCCCCACCTTACATCTCTCTTTCACTTGACTTCAATTTTATGATGTACAGTAGATGAAGTTTAGAGTTCTAAATCCTTTGCCTTGAGCTATTTGGAGACAAGACACTATGTTACCCTAATGCGGTAATTAAATGCACCTTTTGCCAATGTAGCACATATATGTTTACTCTTGAATGATGTCATCAAATACCATTTATCACTATGTCTCACTTTCATAAGCCATGTGAGAACTTATGTATCTTAATTTAGAATATTTATATACATTTCCTGCGAGCTAGAAACAGACAGACTGAGGAGAGTACTTACTTTTGCTCAACAAAGAGAGGATCGAAGAATTCTGTTGTGATTTTGTTTGCGTACAGAGAACAACCTGTCATTGAGCACAGCCCTAGAAAGTATCAGAGGGAAAGTGCTATGGTTAGTGTCATGTTATCAACATTGTGAAGTACCTTGTTTGGAAGAAAGTTATGATTTACCTGACAGTATGAATACAACCCCCGCCAAACAAGCAATTTTCGCTTTGGCTTTATCTGAGCCTCCGACTTTGGTGCATTTCATTCCAACGAGGGCAAATATGGAACCAAAAAAGCCCAGGCTGACAGCAGCAATCATAAGTCCTCTACATGCCTGGATATAACCTGCAATTACAGAAGGCCATTTACAGCAACGCAAAACAGGTGCCTGTCCAGAGAGACATCCTCACTTTCCACTGTCCTTCTGAAGGACTGTTCTGGTTTCTGAAGAAATAACCACAATGGTTAAAACACAAGGTAAAGCAAGCAAGTTCATCTATAGGTGAGCCTGTTCTATACTTGAGCCTCTTCTATACACTTGAAAGTTTAGTGTATGCCTAATCCTCAGGACAGACCTCTGAGTGTAATTATTCCTATATTCACAGATGAGGCAACTGAGGATATATAATACGCCAGAGATGAGACAGTAGGAGGAAAAAATGGATTCCATCCAGATCTGACTACAAAATCCACGCAACACTGCCTTTCACTGTGAGAAACATTCTCTGCCACTCTCTCTCTCTGACTTTCTTGCATGTTGGACCCTCATGTTTTAATGGTTTTGACATTATAAAATTTATAATTGGGCAGCAGGGCCTCCCAAAGAGTCAAACTTTCTGATATTAATGAAAGCTTATAGATGAGACCAACTGGAATATCATCATGAACCATGAGGAGTCTAAATCAAGAAATACTTTAATAACATTTTATTATTTTATGGGCACATATAATAAAATTAGGTTTAAAAAAGCATTGGTTGTTTACTAGAAGAATTTTTATAATTATGAAATTAACTGTTTGCATATAAACAGAAGCTTTCAAAGCACCCTAAAAGCCTGTTCTGTTGTTTTGTTTGATCATTCCTCCTGTACCTTTCATTTTCTTAGTCACATATTTTATTTGCACAGCCCGGGTGATGGTAAACTTCAGCCTGGCTTTTGTCCAGACACTTAACAAATTTTAAATCAATAGGATTTAAACTAACAAACATTTACTATATAAGATCATTTTCATTTCAGTCTGAAACAGTGCCATATTTCAATCTGAAATAGTGATGGTACATACTAGGTGTAAGTAAATATTTGTTAAGCAAATGAACATACATGAACATCAAGTTTACATTCGGAATTAAATGTTTTAATTTCAAAAAGACTCATAAATGCTAAGATATAGCAACTAATGTATTCAGGCAAAGCCTACAATTAAAATAATTCTATGATTATGATAATCATAAATTCAGGAAACAATGCTGGCAGGTAGCCTCCAGTCCATGTTTCTTTGGGAAAGAATGAACTTTTAAGGTTTAATCATATTTCTCAGATCCATTTTGAAGAGTACACAGAAGATGCTCTATTTAATTGTAATAAATTTACACCCCCACAAATTCAGAATGCAATGACAATGATCTTCTACTTTATAGTGTAAACTATTTCCAGACAGAAAGTAATTTCACTGACGGTGAAGCTATCAAAAACAAAAGAAACTTATTTTTAGCAAAACAGGATGATGGAGGCTTATTTTGGTAGCAATAATCATGCTGCAGGGCTATCTGGGTCTCTGCGGCCAAATACTGACTCAGGTAGCTCTCGTTTAAATCTCAACCCTCAAGTCCCCCAGCCAGAACCCAGGGAGCAGGGAGAAGCACAGACAGAGAGAGGAGCCTGTTAGTTCCTTGCAAGATTAGAGAGTCTACCAGGATAACCACAACTGGCTCATCATTTACCAGCAGAGCTACTGGGACAGTGTGGTTTCATCATTTTTTGAGATTTATTTTAATCTATGGTTTTGAGGTGTTTTAGCTGACTCTGACTGCCATCACTAAACAGACAAGACAGTGTGTGTGTGATGTTACCTCTATAATATATGTGTAAAAAAAAAAAAAAAACTAGGAAACCTTATCATGGACCATAACTTGCATTTACTTTAGCAATCTTATAGGTTTTATGGACAGATAATGCAAGGACCTGGCAAAAGGTTAAATCCTACAATCCGATCATTTAGAACACAGAATGCATCTTCCCAGATGGTACACAGTGGTGGGAATCCCAGGCCGATGCATTCAATCCTTAATATGCCTGGAAAAATAACAGTAGTCTTTAAACTTTATTTAACCACTACTCATAATATTTTTCTGAGCTTCTCATTCAGTTCTCCTGTCTCAGCCCTCGTACCGGCAGCAGGACAGGTCTCTTGGCACAAGTCCAAGAGGAGAGAGGGAGCGAGCAGGTTCTGATGTGGTCAGGTCCTTGCTCAGTACCACCCAAAAACATGATTTGGAGGGGAAGGTACCTCTCTCTGGCAGAAGAACAGTAGCAATAACTTACTAATGTCACATGCACGAAAGAAGGCACCTTACCAGCACAATCATTGGCTAGATTTTCTGAAACAGGGAGCAAAGAGCAAGGATTGGGGTTCCTGGAGATAAACTCCCCTGCCACCCCTAAATGGAATCGAGTTGTGAGCAAGCCTGAGGTTTGCAAATTAGGGGCTACCAGTCCTTAAAACACGCACAGACTCAGGGCTTAGGTGACTTCCAACAAACCCTTCCAGAGTTTATCTTTTGCAAGGCAGACCTCTACAACTTTGCTTTTTAACAGTTCCGGAGGGCAAAACTTATAAGTAACACCATCAAGTGAAGTAGCAGTAAAACCTAGTCAAGGAGGCCATTATTTCTGACAGGTCTAATTTACTGACACCGTTAATAGCCAATTAACACATTAAAGTGCTGAGGCATGAACATATTTACTCAGAAGTTCTCTGAAGTATAATTTATAGTTAATTCTCTTGGAAGAAATGGCAAACATTCTCACTAACGAAAATAGATGGCATATATTACAAACAACCTGGCTGAAAATGATTCTCAGCCGAAGTTCAAGTGGTGCTTTGAAAGGAATATGGGTTAGCAATAAACAGAAATCACTAGCTCATTCAACCGTGAAATTTTCAATTAGTAAAATACAGTGACTTTAATGAATTCTGTTGGAGGAAACGCTCACGGTGTCCCTTAAAAGTTAAGTGTTTTCCAAATGATGTGTACCTTATTTTCCATTTCAAACCAGCTAAAATGGAAACATCCACTTGGTGGAGACAGTTCACTTGTAGCACACGTGCTAGTTGCTGGATTTAAAGAGGAAAAGTGCTTTTCTTATGCTAGTAATTTTGTATACTTTTTGCAAAGCCTTGGAAGGAAAAGCAGTCCCCGTGCAGGCATGAACTTTACATTTCAGCTCTGGTTCTTCTGTTTACCTGCTGGCTTCTATTTACACTCAGCACCCAATGCTCTTCATGGAGCAATGATTTCTCCCTCTTCTCCCTTGTCCCCCAACTGTCCTATAGAAGGAAGCATAGCTATCTGGCATGCTGTCTCAGGACGGTCACTGTCAATCCCATATTCCTGAATGTAAACCACAGAAACAAGAGCCTGCCTGCTCAAAGCACCTACCTGGATGCGTGCTTCGCAGAGCATAGGAAATTCATTCTAGCTAACCAACAGCGTCCCAGCTACTTATTTTACACAACAGGACAAAGACCTGGGTGTCACCCACGTAAAGCCAGACATGTATTTCTCTTCTACCCAGGTTCCATCAAACACCATGGTGAGCAACAGTTTGCTTTTCATGGCTAGCACCATCTTAGGGGAATTAAATCTTGTCTTTTATTTACTCAGCTATGCAAATAAAAACTTGCAGTTCAGTAATAAAAGAAAAATAAAACACCTCAAAACTAGAAATAATGTAAATGACTCTCCTTAAGTTTCTGCCAGGATCCAGCTAGTCATGTGCTGTAAAATCCTGGAAGAAACGAGCCTAGAACTTGAGCAATCATTGTGACTGGGTTGACATCTACTGTTCTCTTGAAACGAAAACAGAGCCAGTTAACATGTACCTGTTGCTATACTGCAATGCAATATTAAGCCTGATTAGGAAGAACAATGTAGAAAACAATGCACAAAAGAACTCCACGAGGGAGACCAGAGCACAGCCAAGGGAGGCACGCACACAGAACCTGTCAGGCTCGCGCACAAGCCTCTCGCGAGCCAGGATTCCCCACCGTCTGTGGCACATGCAAGGACTATTTATTCTCCTAAAACTTGGAGGAAGCGTTAAAGCCCAGGCAGACAAGTTTGTAGAGCATGGGGGAAAAGGGGGTAGGAAAATACTGCCTGCAATATGTTTCCTTTTCTCCTGACCACTTTCAAAAGAACTAACGAACTGGCTAAAGGGAATTCAGAGCAAGCGGATTTCACTGTGACAAGTCAATGATAGCATTTTAATCAGAATCCAGCTCTTCTGGGGAGTGCTGGGTGGGGGAGACAAGACCCCGCTGCATGACTCCGTGTCCTACCAGTCGCCGAGAGAGGGGGGTCCCACAGCCCTGCCCTCGACTCTCAGGACGGCAAAGCTGCTTCCCTTCACGTCAGACGCCTGAGAGTCACCCACCGACCCAGGCCTGTCTGCATGTCCCCCACCCCCCGGGTTCCCGGGATCGGACAGGTGTCCCCGTGGGACAGACGTCCGGGGGCGACGGGCACCGGGGAGCCCCGGCTCCCTTGGGCCCTGGGGAGAGAGCGGGGCCGGGCCTCGGGGGAGTCCGGCCCGGGGGTCCCGCCGAGGGTCGTGGGGCCGAGCGGGCGCCCCCGCCGGCCGGCCGGGGAGGAGCGAGGGCCGGGGCGGGGGTCGAGGGGATGCAGACCGTCCAGCGCCAGCATGGAGGGGAAGTCCTTGCAGTTGGAGACGCCCGTGGAGTCAGTAACGCACGTCTTCCACAGGTTGGCCCAATAGGTGGCGGTGGTGATGACCGTGCCGTCGATGGTGGACACCTTCCAGTAGTCGGTGGGCAGCGTGGAGGACACCAGCACCCAGCCTGAGATGGAGACCAGGAAGGCGATGATCTCCGAGGCCGTGCTCGCCATGCCGCCGCTGCAGCCGGGCTCGCGCTCGCGCTCCCACTCGGCGCCGCGACCCCCGCGCGCCCG